TGCACTACTTGACATACCTTCTTTATCTCTTTGTTTCGTCTTTTTTGAATCCAATTTGGCGGGTTCATTCAACAACGAGGAGTTATTCCTACTCTTTGTCTTCAATAGTCGTCTATCTAATGTGTTACGCTTCGTTTCGTCATCAACCACAGGATCGGTATGACTCTTTTTGGTCTGATCCTGTTTAGCTCCTTTGTCCATCGGAACATGTACATCAAAATCATGTCCGATTCGGAGTTCTCTAAGCTGAACGGCACTTGCTCTTGTTGGACTCGTACCGTGATTGCTATTGCTTGACTCGCTATCTGATGCCGTAATCAACAGAATGTAGTGCACAAATACACTGATAAACAGCATACTCCCTCCTCTGTTGCAACTATTTATATCTGAAAGTTGTCCAAAACTGTAACTCTCATTTATAGTATCTTCCTATCCTGACCTTGTTTTTCCATTTTTGGTCATTATCTATGAGAAACGTAACCATAAATAAAATTTTTAAGAAGATGACATGCCTGTTTACTCAACAAATGACAACACTTCTTGATAAAAAAATTGCTAAATGATTTAGAAAGCAAAACTGTGTAATTGGCGTGTTTCACGAGCACATTTTCTAGTATATAGCCAACAAATAAATTATAGATTGCAGTAACGACTCATCAGGAACAAACATGGAGATATTTATCAGCTTCTAAAACATTGTTAACGTTTATATGCATTCATAGTCAACTTATATTGGGCAGACAAACCTGTTACCATGGCATCGTAAAACAACATCTGCATGTTATCGTTTTAATCAGTGCCCGAAACAGTAATAATAACTTTCCAGTCAAAAATGCTATGAATAAATCAATTTTAATACATAGCAATGTTGATGAATGTTGTCAGTTGTTCTATTACTATTTCTTGTGCTACGATCATTTTGGTGTGACCGATCAGTGACTCATCTTGTCTACCACATATAGTTTGCATTAATGCAATTCATTTATGGTCAAACATCCAAGCGTAACTCAGAATGTTATGCTGGCAAATTGCAAACAATTCTACGTAAAACATTTCAATCCATAAAATGATAACAGACCACTAACAAACAATTTTAAACGGCAAGCGTAATTGTTATCTTAAATTCAGAAGTGTCTCAAAAAACTTGGCTGTCATAGAAGTTTCATGATGTTATCACAATCATTTTATACTTTACATTCAACATATCTGATTCATTTTCTTGCTTTAGACTTGTGTTTAATGTTGTTTTATCATAAATATTGGCTACCACATTCCTAGGAACACAATAGTTAGTTTTTTGTCACTCATCATGCCAAGCACTATATTCTGGATATTATCTTGTTCTCCACTAAAACAAATTACACAGATAACAAGACATAAAAATACTAATGATGTCATATCCGGTTGTGTAACAGAACAAAAACATGCTTTGAACTTAATGGTTTCTATCCTTTGCTCGTAGTAACCATATCGTTTTCATACATCTGTA